CAGAGCACTAAAGTGACAAATAAACATGATTTACAAAATAAATATACTATATCAGGTGTGGTATCTACCGACATCAAACAAATCGTCAGAGAGAAAAGCCAAAGAAGACCAAGTGGAAAACAATTGGGAGCTATGTTTGTGAACAACATTAATATTGGTATATCTTCTAGAAAATTTGAATTATTATCATTAATGGGTAGTCAGTCAAGTAGAAAGTATTCAAATCAAAACCAAGACCAATTTACAATATGATTAACAACTCTTAGAGAAAACTAAAATATTAATTCTATATGTACAACACCTCCAACTACTACTGATACATCTTCTGTTAATTCAGAATTGTATGTGTTTCTGCAGGATATTGATCTACTAAACACCGCAATTTGAACCTGTTCTTTTGAATTGAAAATTGTTGTTCATCAACAGTGAATAGGACGCTCTGATCAAAAGATATCGAATTTTTACCGTAGAGTTGATACAAATTTTATTTAAAAAATCCATTGATTAAAAAAAAAACGTAAAATTTTGTTCAAAACTGGCATCGTGTACAATTAAATTATTGTTGTATTTTATTTCTTTATTACCCGATTTAAAATAATTAAGTTGTTTTTATAAGTGATATAAAAATAATTTGTCATTTGATCAAAGAAGGTGTTTGGATAAGTTTGACGTCATCTGGACACTGGTCTAATAAGTAACACAGACATATTACAGCTTATCCTCAATTCCAAGAGATGTTTCTGATTTAAACATTCATCATGGCGTTTCGTTAGGTAAACATCTTCTACTAGCTGAAGTTTTCAAATTACTTTTTACTCATTATAAATATATTAACCCTTTATATATATATATATATATATATATATATATATATATATATATATATATATATATATATGAAGCCAGAAACTGTACTTTAAATATATAGAGAGAGAAAGATAGACTGTATATATCTATAGCAACCGCGCTAGACAGTACATTATTCGAAGTGTTCCATACAACAGTTATAGTTCTGTCGATGATGAAGACACAATAATTCTGAATAGTATTTCATGAATATGTTTGTAAACCATTTTTGGCATTGTCTGTATTAAAAATCGAACATTTGACTGAATGCATAATGGGTTTTATGAACTCTTGAATATAATGAAAGTTTTTCTGTTGTAAAAAGACCGTTTTCCGTTGCGTGTTTTTATTCTAGGTTGCATTTTGTAGAATGTAATAAAGCAATTGGACAAGATGTAAACAAAAGTGTAAATAAATTGAACTTTTACAAAAAAATAATATTTCGAAATTCTTCTTCTTTATGTGCTTCTTCTACCGAAGCTTGGCGACCATCAAACGATAGGTTTCTCTGTTTTGTGCCGCATGTATTATGTTCGCAGCTTCTGGTATTTGAAACCATTCTCTCAAGTTTCTCAGCCAGGATTTCTTCTTTCTGCCCAAACCTCTTCTACCTTCAATCTTGCCTTCCACGATAAGCTGTAACAGACTGTACTTATCATTACGGAACACATGGCCAGGTTTGACGCTTTCCTTACAAATTTCGAAATTCCTTACAAAATAAATAATCAGTTATAAATTGCAAGGGTTGACAAATGCTTATTAACCTGCTGACAGATCTTCGATTTTGTATTTAGGCAATGCTAAAAATGTTTATGTTTTACAATTTTTCTGAAAAATTTTCAATCAATTCTCGATATATAAAGTGTTAAAAATGTTATATGTACAGGGTTTTGCTACGTTTCAATATATGAATTGGTTGTATCTCCATTTCTTGGACTTCAAACCATATATATATATATATATATATATATATATATATATATATATATATATATATATATATATATATTAAAATAAAATAAAACAACATTTTAAATAGTCTTTGTCTAATAAGATAAATAAAAACGTTTAACGAAAGATACTAAAAACAGTTGTTTTTCAAATATAAAATTACAATCAGATTCTTATATAGGTCTCGAGACAATACGCAAAAAAATATTTATCTATGTTAGAATTGGTGTAAACGTATCACATATTCTATTAATAATAACAAGGGATTATATTATATAAAATTGATCAAAGGCGTTGAGAGAATGCCAGAAAGACAGTGTTGTACCTTAATATTTAGACGAACAATTTTCGATTTTAGAGAGTTTATGGACGGAATGTTGCCAAAAAGGTAGTTTAACAATTGGGATGCGAAAAATATTATTTTCCTAAATAAAATGGATTTAGAGATATTTACTAAGAACTTTCCACAGACAAACTCTTTTTAATTAATTCTATAGAATGTTAACACACTTAAAAATGGTAACCACAAATAATGTTTCATGATGGCACTAACCGTCAAATTTGTATTAAGAGAAACATATAATATCTTATATTCAAAGATGATTTCACAAACGATTCTAGATGGCGCTGTGGAAATGTGTCATCCTCGTATTGTTAGAGTTTGCCAATTGTTATTGCGAAGACTGTAGTAATTGGTCCAGCGGGTAGCTCCAAGTGAACGCCAAGGAAAAGTATTTTGTGAGGAAATTATACTATACTTATATGGAAAATAAATATGTATGCTTTTAAAATTCAAAACAACAAAAGCAAACCCAATACTTAACAAGAGGGAACGAAGAACTTTGTTTATAAAATTCCTTATGAATCGCCAATTGGCAGTTTTATTCCCAAAATATGTGGTATTAAATGTAAAGTATTCCACAAGGACATCGTTTCAGCCTCATATCATGGTCTAAGTATGTATTAAATGAAAGACCTCAATTAGTGGAACAGCAGAGGTGCATCCTTAAATTTTGGAACGGTTCGGAAAAAGCAAGGCCTTTATTTTAACATACTCTAATAATTAAAAGTATACGCCGTCAATTTATTTCAACTATAATTATCAAAAATGATAAAAATATTCTAATTATCAGAAATGATAACCTTCTGAATACACGATTATTGATTTCTTTTTCTGACATTCTAAAGCACAAGACTATTGAGTTAAAGTGGAATAATGAAAGAATTCCTATGTACTAGGAACAGGCTACGAGGTGACTTTAGAGTATGAAACTCTTTAACTATTTGTTTTGATAGATAGAACAGGATAGCCACAGAACGTTTTATATAGAAAAAGAATAACGTATTCTTCGGGGCGAGAAAACGTTTTTCAAAACGTAACAGTAACAATCCAATATCTCACTGTAATGTTTTATTAAAATAATTTGAAGTTTGTCTAGATTGATTATCTGTCATTATTTTTGAATTGAAATATTTTCATAAATTGTTGTAAAACACAAATCAATGTATGGGTACTTAATTGAGATGATGGAAAATTACAAAATTATTATGAGAATTTTTTAGGATGCATGTTTAAACAAATTTAATGTGACTGACTGATCGAGAATGCTCGATAATGTTTTAGTTTTTAGTATACTCAAAACTGGCGGTCTGTCACACAGTCCTGCGTTTAGCTGGTTTTATATAATATTTTCGTTGAACTGGCAACGGTGCCCTAGAAATTAGAATGACAGTTGTGACAAGATCAACGTACACAACTTAAAAAATACGAATTTTGATTATAAGAGTTGTACCAGTTTTTTATGACGCGAACAGTACTTATTTTCATATTTCATATTCACACTTTACTGTTGAGACTTCATTAACTTTTCTATTGAGACTTTATTCTATAAAATATATTTACCTAACCCAATTAAAGTTGTTAAATGTGATGTCACCACATATTTTTAAAAATAATGTAACACAACAAATTTTGCAACTTCTTTAAGGGTTTTTACTCAGATATTAGCTCATTCATGTTACCTGTAATATTACCACTGATGATGGATTTTTAGTCCAAAAGAAAGTGTTCTGTGATGTAGCCCGAAAGGGTAATTTTAATTATATACCTTTATAAAGGATTTTTAAATAAAATTTTAGTTAAGATTGTTTTCCTTAAGCAAATTGAGATCTAAATATTAAATTATTCATATGGTAGATTATCTAGACAATATCGAGAATTTTATTCGCTAATTGAAGGCCTTCATTTGACACATACCTTGACCTTACGTAACGATTATGTTTATTATATCTGCAAGTATAGTATAAGAAAGAATTTTTGGATACAATAAATTGGTTCAATTAAAGTTGCAGAATAAAAAGTGGTTAATTTAAGAGATAATGAAAATAATTACTTAATTTCACATAATTAAAACTTCCAAACTTACCAGATTATTTTATTTAAAGAATGAAACAACAAATACCTTAAATAGGGACATTCATAACGAATAAAAACTTATGATCCTTCAAATCACTTTGAAAAAAAAGTGTGGCTTCGGCATAAAAGTATGAATGTTATCGTACAATATAGCACCGACACTTGTGTCAAATTAGTGAAACACGAAACGATCGCGACGTCAGAAAATAGTCTACACTTCGTTTTAAAGTCTAATCTTAAACATTTCAAAAAAATATTCATTTTACAACTAATGAAAAATATTCTTCCGCAAATTAATAGTTTGTGCATGTATGTGATTTGTACGTTTCTTTAAAATATAATCTGGAAAAATTATTGTTAAAAAAAAAATAAGTATTTTAATCTAGTAATTAATTATTGTAAAGATTTCTTGAACGATATTATTGGATTAAGGTAAAATACAAGGATTTCGTTGCCTAAAGTCACCGATAAAATCAGGAAAATAAGCCAAACAGCGCATATTAATAACATGATGCAAAAAGCATATTTTTCAAAGTTGAGAAATGGTTAAAAGGTAAAAAATAACAATTTGGTAAAAATGTTATAAAAAAAACCACTGGTTTTGATGTATCAAGTCCTAAAATAAAAACAAACAATATTTCCCTTCCTATGTAACAAATATAACTAAGCAATCTTGCCAATTATACAGATTTTTATCATATATATACAATGAGTAAAAAGGTTCCCTGCCGAATCTTGCTAAATGAGACTTTTCCTAAAAAGATGAAGTTTATCCCACATATCAATATTATGATATTCTATTTAATTCTTGGAGGCCTGAGGATGAACTGGTTAGTTCGCTGAAAGACTGTTCTAAACAATGTTTTAGTTCGGCGTACGAGACCACGAGGACGCTTTGTTCGTCACGTGACACCAGACTTATCTTTTCAGGAACGCCCACGTCCAGTTTGTTGAGACATTGAACGATGTGCGCCATGTCGAGCCAAGGGTTGCCGTCTTCGGTCACTTGATGGAATACATAATCTCGGAATAGTTTTAACATATACCTTAAAAGATATTTATATTATTAATTGGATAAAGTTTAAAAAATAAACAACACGACGATCAAAAATATATGTACATCATAGGGATTAATAAATAATTCTCTATAACGGTAAAGTAAAGTTAAAGTTCGTGTAACCTTCTGGCTAAGGTCTAGTGTTAGGTTTTTCAGGTCGCGCAAGCGCCCCTAACATGACTTAACGACTACTTTCGTAGCCGGGACCGACGCCTTTACGTGCCCTCCGAAGCACGGTGGCAGCTCAGTTACATTAGAAATTGAAAATTTTGTCGGTGCGGGATTCGAACCCGGGCCTTACGGCTAGCCACTTTGTAACGGTAAAACGAAGAGATAAAGAGAAGCTTCCTAAGGATGTTGCAATTAATTAAATATGTACATAAAAATTATATATACAGTGTGGATATTGGTCTTCCATAATCCGATCACAAGATGAAAAACGCTCGGACCCGTCAATTTTTATTTTAATCGAGTATTTTATAACATAAAAAAATTGTCACCCCTTTCATCCCCCCCCCCCCCCGGATTTGAAAAGAAGAATTCTAAAATTTATCACACTTTACTTAACTTTAAGGATCTGTTTGTTAATAACGATTTATTGTTTTGAAATACATTTTGCGATATAACAATACAAAAGTAGGTATACTGGTTTTGATTTAATATGGGACATTCGGTATAATAAAATTTATTTAATTTTTATTCTTGAACGTTTATACCGAATTTTTGCAGAATAAATACTTTAATGTCGTTAAAACATATCGTGATACATATCGTAGAACAATTTTTTAAATAATCTAGTTGGCGTGTCTAGTTTTTTACAGCGGTCATAAAAACCAAGCAATTAGCACTGTTGATTGTAAAGAATATTGACAAGAACTTGAGATTTGGTGAGCTTTAGAGCTAACCTGTAAATTTTTAGTATTGAAAAGCCAAAACAATCAAAATGGCACCACCTCGCAGATTAGTAGACAAATGTGAAGCAATTTTAATATTTAGTGAAGCAGGTCGTAACTACCATGAAGCTGTGAGAATATTTAATGAACGTTTTTCGAATCGTCCAATTGATCGACATTACTATAGAGTACTTGTCACCAAATTTTGTAAAACTGTATCTGTCGAAAACAAGAAACGGGATGGTAGAAAGAAGACTTCTGAGGAAAAGCAAGTAGATATTTTGTCTCAATTTGTAGTAGATCCATCCAGTTCAACTAGAAATGTTGCTCGCGAATGCGAAGTAAGTCACAAGACCGTCTTAAACATTTTAAAAAAGCTAAAATTTCATCCCTATAAGATGAAAATGGTGCATGAATTGACAGACGATGATCCAGATCGACGACTGCAATATTGTGAAACTATGGATAATAATATTTCACAAGATCCAAATTATTTAAGACATATTTGTTTTTCCGATGAAGCCAGATTTTATTTAAATCGTCATGTACATCGATAAAACGCAAGATATTGGTCTGACGAAAACCCTCGATTGTTTCGAGAGTGTCATACTCAATTTTCCACTAAATTAAATGTTTGGACAGGTAAACTAGGGGATCACATTACAGGCCCTTTTTTTATCGAAGGCAATTTAACGGGGGAAAGCTATCTTAATCTACTGGAAACACAAATAATTCCTGCAATTAATGATGTGCTTAGAAACAATCCAGGCGAATTCACCCAAGATCTTGTTTTCCAGAAAGATGGAGCTCCGCCTCATTACGATGCTCGCGTTCGAAATTTTTTAAATAATTTGTATCCGAGAAGATGGATTGGACGTTGTGGATTCATTGAATGTCCACCAAGATCACCAGATCTTACTCTCTAGATTATTACATATGGGGTTACCTTAAATCCAAACTGTATGGGAGCCAGTTGACGACACTTGATGAACTCCGTCAAAGAATAATCGAAAGAATGTAATAGGATTGATATGCAGGACCTACAAAGGGTTAGGGAGCCAACGAAACGAAGAATCTACTTCTGCCAGGAAGTAAATGGAGAACATTTCCAGCATCTCCTGCAGTAATGAAGTTTTCTGTAGGATAATTTGCCAGTTCCTTTAATTTTAAAGATGTAATTTTATACATTATTTTTTGTATATTTTATTTTAAATAAAACCATTATGCCATACAAAATTTCAAACTTATACATTTTTGAATTCTTCTTTTCACACCCTTTCCAATGAACTATCGCACGATCCTCTTCGGTCTTCTAAGATTGCTGGAGGATGTTCGATGCGTGATAAATCAGCTTATCTTCATGGCCATTTCAAAGTCTCTATACCAGATTCTTGTATGAACTCTATAGTTTCACGGACAATATGAGATTTTGCGTTATCTGTTGAAAGATCACAATTGGAATGGCTTGTAGGTAGGGATAGGGATGTTAAACCAGTTGCAGTACGTCGCCAATGTATCGTGAACAAGAATTAAAGGTTATCTTGTTCCCAAACATATAGCAGCCCATACCATAATGCTTGGTTGTCTTGCTGTATGAAGTTCAACAGCCAAGTCTATAATTCGTCGCGCGCCTCGAAAACGTCTTACCCTTATACGCCCATCAGAGCCATCCAAACAAAACCTAGATTCATCACCGAAGCAGGCCAAATTCCATTGGCCATTTCAGATTTGCCAAGCTCTGCATCATTCTAGGCGTCGAGTCTTGTGCTGTGGCGTCAAAGGTAACACCAAAAGAGGACGGTAAGCTCTATGTAGCTATAACTAAATCATCTCTTACTTATGTACACTGTCCCGTCTATTTATATCTAAAGAGAGCAAGATTTATATCTAACCAAAACAAGAGTGGCCATTCGCAAACGTTTCGGTTTGTTTGCTTACCCTATCTCCAGCACAGTAGTTGCTCAGTCCTCAGTTTTAACCCCTTATAAGTGATACCCGAAGTAGTAGGCAAATTAAATCGTTACAAAATGACTAAAAATTGAAAATAAACTAAAGCTAAATACACACTAATACAAAATAAACTTTCTTATTTGTTTTGTTTTTGCGAAAAAAAAAGAAAAAACCTCAGTTAAAGAAAATATAGCGAGATCATATATATTTTTAGATAAAACTTACAAAGAAATACTTTTGATGATCCAAATAAATAACCGTGTTCTATTTTTTTGCCATCAGTATATCTATATCTGAACAAATTCAACAAAATATTGTGTAGAATAATATTAAAAAATACATAAACACATTAGAAAGTTTTAGTTGAATCACTTTTATTAGTGTGAATAGTTACCTATCTCCAGTTTCTGCCCATGTACTTTCCAAATTGAAATCTGGTCGTTCATTAATAGTAGCCAATTTGGTCATAATTCTAAAAAGGCGGCCGTTTTGTACTTCTTTCGACAGTTCGTGATCGAGTGTCTCGATGTGGTTGTGTAATGTATCCAATTGATTGTAAAATCTAGCACCAATCATTGGCATAAGATCAGTAACGCTTCTTCTTTGTTGTGTACCTAAAATATTGTTTAAAAAAACTATTAAAAAGAATAAAATTAGTTGTGTTCTGTACGAAATTTGTCGATATTTCTACTTTTTCTTCCCCCAAGATGTTGATTCATGACTTTCATTTTAGCATATACATTGCCCTGCATTAATTGTCGGCCTAGACATTCACGTCAACAACGGTAACCATTGTAAGAATCATAGATGTAGTAATAATAAACTACATGTAGAACTGAAGGACAATAAGTGAAGTATACTTTTACAGTTTAGTGCACGTGTTGTCCGCTAGGTGGGCACAAATAAGGGGACAAAAAAATGTAAACATTGTTTAAAATTTCACTTGTTTCTCGTGATAATTATATGGAATTTTGTAATGGTAGTTTTAAGTAAGATAATCTCCTGGCCGAAAAATAATCATTTTTACTTATATGACTGTATTTTTCAATCATAATGATATTACTTCCACCCCTGTTGCCAATTGTATCGTATGGAATAATAATCTAAATAACAATGAAAATGAGGGAAATGTATTCCAAACAGAATGGAAAAGAAAAAAAAGATAATATTCTTTGAAGATAATGAAATAGAAACTGACATTTTATGAAATAATACCCGTTCCATACTTTTTATATATCCATTTGTTATATTTTTTTAAGGACTAAGTTCCTTCCTTTTGTTACCTCTCATTATTCTCGAACAGACTTCTCGCTATTACCTACTTAATCTGCCCTAATCTAACAAGATCATTACTCTACAATGAAAATATTTGTTAATTGTTTTACCCTACGAAATTACTTACCTAATAAATACATAATCAGATTGCGGAGATCAGTGGTGTAGGAACGACTGACAATATCTAAAGCTGTAGATATGTTTTCTCTTTGCACAGCCATGGTCGATTTGCAAGCCAGAGCTAGAACCAATTTTCCTAAAGCAGTTAAGTCTTCCTGCTGATAATGTTGAACTAGTGCTATGTGGTTGATGGTTGAATTTGTTTCTTGAAGCACTACATCCATTACTCCTAAACAACTTAATCTTAACCTAAAAAGTTTCTAGTTAATAATAGTTGTGCGTATCATTATTCAAATCTCACACACATAAGATGTGTTAAACTATTTGTTCTCCGATTCGGAAAACTGTTGAACACCGGATGTAAAATGCAAACTAACAAATCTTTTAAGCATGATTTACATGATGCCAGTAAGTGGCACTCAAGGAAACTGAAGGAAACAACCGACAAGTTTTAATAAAACAAAAGGAAAACAATGACAACCTGCACGAGGACACAGAGTGGAAACAGCTTGAAGAACTAGAGGAATCTGCGATCTTGGGAAAGTCTTTTAAGAGTCAGCAAAAACTCGAGGACTGAGGAGGAAAAGAGAAAGAATTTGGACGACTCAGGGGAGAGGCCGTAGAAGAGAGGCGAGAAAGCGAAGAACTAAGCACGATAGAAGACAGTGAAAGAGGTCCTAAAGAAATCGAAGGTACTCCACAACATGACAAAGGAGCACGTGAAAACCAAAGTTAAAATTAAGACTGCGATAACGGTCCTACACAATATGTCAAAGGCACTTCACACGAAAATGGAAAACTATAAAGAAAAAACGGAGATCCTCCTAACGGAAAGAATTGAGAAAAGCGATATGAGTGTAAAAGCAGAAGTAGAAGATATAGAAAAGAATAGAAAGAAAGGAGGAAAAAAAGAATGGAGGGGGAGATTACGGCTTGCTTAGAGAGAGCTTTGACTGAAAGAGAATATAAGAAGTACGTGGACAAAGAATGGCCAGAGCATGGCTTTAAAAGAACAAAAGCAGCAGAGAGAATGGAAATTGTCCCAGCAGGAAACATATATGATAATTACACTGGATAATAGAGGGAAAAGTGAACTAGAAGACAACAACATCGCGGAATGAGCACAAAGTCACACAGGACTGGAACATCTAGTCAGAGAACAAGGCAGGGATCAAACAAACTATGTCCTAAATTGGTTGTCTCTGAAATGAGTGGAGGAAGTGGCCAAAAAATTATAAATGTCGCTTATACGATCCCGATCGAGTAAAGAATTTCAAACAGCTTGAAAAGTGCCATGGATTTAGTAGAGGACATAAAGGATGTGAGGAACAAGGGAAATAGGGAGCAACATCTCTACTGTGTAGTAGGAGAAAGCACGGCTTGGATGGAACTAAGAAAGGCACTGGAATATTGAAGTGGAAATTACACTGGTAGTTTTAAGAAATTTCAGAAGGACAGAAAGAGGAAATATTAACATCAAAGGGGCCGAATTGTACGTGGATATGGTAAAAGAGGTCAGACAGAAAGTGGATGTAAAAAACAACGGCGTCGACATCAAAAAGATGAGAAACACGGCAATGGGGACCTATTTCTCGAGCTAATAGAACCCAGGGACAAAATTCAGGGAGGAGGATCAAATGAAATCTGAAATATGAAAGAGGGGCGGTTTGGGGGAAATACGGTAGTACTCAAAGATAGTAGAACAGTGGCTGACACATTGGTGAGGCAGGCGACAGAGAAAAGTGCTGCTGGACTGGTGAACTGTAAGGTAATGACACCCGGATATCGACCAATACGCTGCTATTCGTGTCTACACTTCGGGCATACTAGAGACTTTAAGAGACACATGTCTGAACTGCTGGGAGGAAGGGCATAGCGCTTGGGAGTGCAAGAATACGTCACATTGCGGAATCTGCAGCGAGAACCAGACGACGGATTCGGAAAATTGACCTAAGTTCAGGAAGCTCGTAGCCAAAAGAGAATCTAGGGAAAGGGACGCAAGTACGCCGGTAGGAGTAAGATTGGGCCTTCGAATTCACTCAACTAGATATGAATTTAAAGGGTTGAAAGTAGTGCAGGTGAATTTGGGGAGATGTAGGGTGGCACATCATATGCTCAAATCGGGGGACGGGAATTAAAAACGGACCTGTTGCTAGTGTCCGACCAAATAAAAAGATTACGACCCAAGGAGGCTGGATCGAAAGGTAAGATGTAGCAGTTTATATTAGAAACAGAGAGCCGGAGGTGAAAACTTGCCAGGGATTCCTAATCTAGGATTTTGGAATTATCACATTACTAGATTACATTACTAGAATATAAGAGTCTGGTAGGGAAAATAGCAGAAAAAAAAGAATAATCGTTGCTGGGATATGGGAAAGGAGTTTTAAAATTGACTTGGCATTAGGAAGGTTAATGGTACTTTTTTGTTTGGTCTGATCTTATATCATGAATAAATCTCCATGATTTCCCAATTTTTATATTTTATTTAATTTTTCTTCTGATCTAGATTTTTTAATTTTTTATTATATATTTTAAATCTTGCTAGTTCTGTTTAATATGTAATCTTATGTTCAATGTATGATCAAATAAATGATAAATAGCAAAAGAATAAACTTACCTATTTCGGGAATTAATAATAATCTTCGTTGGATCTAAACTTCTGCACGCAAGTGCTGAAGAGTGAATGATTCTTAAAGCTGATGTAAGCTGAATGATGTAATTCCAAATCAATGGTTCAGGAAGTTTATTATTTTGAGTGTGCCGCAGCAGGTTATTTTTCTGATAACTATATGGTCTCGGTGTAGAACTATCATTTAAGAACGGATCACAATAACCTGGTTGGTCCGGTGAAAAATGTTTGTTCAGCAGTGTTTCTGAACCGGGATGATAGTCGTACACAAATATCATGGAGTTATCACCGAAAGCTTTCGTGGTAAACACTTCTTTCAACTGAACTATATTGGAATGGGTGAGTTTTCTCCACAGCTCGACATATGCCATACATTTAGTGTTAGATAACCTAAAACACAAATATAATTGCAGCACTTTTTTGTAAAGATACTTTGAAAGGAATAACTAAAAATACTTAAGTAAAAATTAATCAATACCTAAATCCATGGATTCTTCTTAAACAGTAGTGCATACCAGTTTTGATGTGAGTCGCTTTGTACATGGTCGCCTGATAGCCCAAATGAGCCTTATGCAAAGTATTTGATATGGGTTCGAGAGGAAACAGCTCGTGGTAGCTATCTACATCTTGCGGAAGATCTGGATATTGCTGAGGGTCAGGTTGTAACAAAGTTAACACATTTCTATTTAGAATATCGCTTCGGAGATCTTCGGACAAAAAAAAAGATGGATCTTTTTTACCCGTGTAGACGTTGTATTCAGTTGGTAAGGAGCCACCTACAGTTACTGAAATAAATATTTTTAGGTCATTCATATGGCGCTAATTTAAAAACTATTACATGTTAAATGAAATGATAGATTAAACAGCGCAACGAAATTTTTATTTTTTTTTTGTGTTTAAACATTGGTATATATTTACGGAGCATATATTGCCTCAAAACAGATGAAATATTAAGATGAGAACAACGTTTAGTAAAGCCCATTTAGTACATTTTGGAAAATATACATCATCATCAAGGCCTTTCGCTCCTAATCGAATGTTTGACGCTCCACCTTAGAGCTCTTAATTCGCTGATTGCTCCACATTCTTGTACAATGTTTTATCAAAGATTGTTGTTGATTTGGCTTTCGTTGCAATTTTCTTCCACTCATTTCGATCTGTGCATATGTTCCTCCAGTTTCTTACTTTCAGGACTTCGATATATCTCATGACTTGGTCCCCCCATTTCTTTCTACGTTTTCTTCTTGGTATTTCAGTTTCTAGTTGGCATCTGTTGACTTTCTTAATCAGTAAGTCGTTTTTCCTTCAATCTATGTGTTCCTGCCATCTCAATATCTGTGCTTTAATAAATCTAACTATATCTTCTCTCTCCCTTCATTCTTCCTCTCATTTCTCCGTTTTCCATTCTTATTGGGCACATAATTCTTTTGAGGATTTTCCTTTCGAATATTCTTTTTCTTTTTTCATCTTCTTACTTTCATTTTTTATTTGTAAGGCACACTGTCTCATCGGAGTATGTAACTACTATGGTTCTTCACTTCTCTTGTTTTTGACATTCACAGTTACTCCCAAGTATTTAAATCTTATATACTAAAACGCTAAGCCCTTTTCTTGTCCACCACTTTATTCAAAAACCATATTAGATAATTAAAATATTTTTTCGGAATATTATTAGTATTACGTATGAGATTGTCAAGATATACTTTTGGTACAAAAATTCACTTCCGGTTTTGAGATGAGCGGAAGTTAAAATTTTCTTTAAGTTTTAGACCCCACAATGTATATATGGATCGAAAGGTCTCGTCGAGACGAATCTAAATATGTACTTCCGGTTGCGATCCGACACCGGAAGTGACCCGAAACGCGCATAAAACGTCAAGATAGAGCAAATCTGACACCGGATTCGTGATCAGCATGCAAAATTAACAGCTAAATGATATCCATGTCGACATTTGATGAACTAAAAATTGCATTCCGGTTTTGAGGTCGACTTCCGGTTTCGTTTTTATTAAAAAGTAAAAGTTTACATAACTCCTGGTGCCAAGCAAAAGTTTTCAGAAAATGGAGACATTGTAACAAAAAACATTGTTTTCGACGAAATATTTCGTGATATTTAATACACTTTTTATTTGCATTATTATTGATGAATGTTATGTATATTCTTGCTTATATTGTTTGTATTGATCTCTTAATTTTTCTCGCAAAATAAAAATTTCATTTAAAAAACTCGATGTCGAGTTGGTCCGCTAGTTGTTAAACTATTTCAAAAGTGTAGTGTTCTATTTAATCTTGATTTCTAGAGATTAGATACATATTTTGATTTTCCTTCATTAATTCCCCGGCCTCTTGTACGCGCTTTATTTGCCAGGATTTTTAATACTTCTTTTAATCTTTCCGTATCTCTTCTCATAAGAGCTAAGTCATCTGCATATGCTACTATTTGTGTTCAAAAGTGGGCTATAGTTCCTTTCTTGATAGCCTTGACTGTTCCGTTTACTGTTATGTTGAATAGTGTGGTTAACCTTGTTGCACTCCTGTTTCAATTGCAATTGTATTTGTGCTATCTTCTTCTGTTGTTATTTTAGCTCGGAATATCCCTAGTCACTTTTGTCTAACCAAAGGCTTGTCTAACGTCTACGAAGAGGATGTGGAGTTCTATGTTGTGTTCAGTTTCACCTAGAAAAACTCCTAATATTGCAATGTAACTATAACTTCTAATCTACTTAGAATAAAACCTGGTCTGTCTCTTAATTTACTCTCTTTTAACGTGGATAAGACAGTAGAATTCTCTTATAAAGGAGCTCTTCAACCCTTGCTTCTTAATAACAGTCAAATCAGTATCGTTGACTCTTCTTGGATCATTTCTTGGTATTTTTATAAACAGCAACCTTAAATGTTCCCTTCATATCGATTTGTTAAGTAAGATACTAGCCTCAGCCTGCTATGCAATAAGATCTGTTTCGAAGAAAATCAATTTAATATCTTCCAAAATAACATATTTTTCTTTGTTCGAGTCTCATCTTTGATATGGTCTTCCTTTTTGTGGTTCTAGTACAGCTGCCAATCTGATGTTATTTTTAAATTACAAAAGAGAGCAATACCTTTTTGGCCTCAGTAGAATAACACATTGCAGAAGCTACTTCAAAAATCACGGGATTTTAACGCTCTTTATATATTTTAGAAACTGTTTGCTTAATTCGTAAACACCTACATGTTTTTCCATTGAGACCTAATCATGACTACTCCATCAGAAATTCAACCTCCATTCAATTTCCATTAGAAATTCAACCTCTAATGTGTATTTACCGATCCCGTCCACTGAGTTAATAAAGAAATCTATATTATATTCAACAAAAAAATATATACAAACATCTCCCTTTACAACTTAACTCTTTCGTCACTATCGGGACATATACACCCCGACGGATATTTCAAAATAACTGTTGGACTATATTCTCCCAAAAATACGTAAAAGTTGATGTATTCAATGTTTCTAAGTCTTCGTGGAGGTAGGCAATACAAAATATAACGTATATTGTGATCCATTTTCCGTTATGGCGGCAGAAATAGTACACGTGTTGTATCACTGAAGTATAAAAGTGAGATTATTGTAGAAATCAAACTGCTGACGCTTTGAAAAGCCAATTCTATATATAGTGGATTTAACAGTTACAGGTAAGTGTCAGTATAGATAAAAACATTTGGTTCTTTGTTGTAAATGTAAGTTTTTTTGCATAAGAATGTATGTGGGACATATACGTCCCAATAGTAATATTAAAAGGGATTATTTGTCCAAATCGTAGGGAAATATATTAAAATTATTTCTACATTTTTGCTGTTATTACGTGTTTTGTTGATTTGTTCTTTTTTAGGATGAGCCGCAAAGCATTGAAAGAAAAAGAATTAGTGGAAGTAGCTGAGCATTTGAGTAATATCTCTATATCCTTTGAATCCTATGAGCCATTTGATATTTCTGCTAAAAAAAGCGACTTTGAGTTGTCGGATAATGATATTACAATAGATGAGATGAGTAAAATGGATGAAAGTAAAAGCGAAACTGTAACAGAACCAAGGGTAACTAACAAAACAGACTTTCAACTAACCATCTGAAGAAAATGGTTTAGTTTTGTTAGATTTGGACAGATCATCAACGGAGTTAGATGTATTTCTAAAATTGTTTCTCAGAAGTCTACTATTTCATATAGCTGATTGTACGAATCAGAGATTATCACTCATTCGGAATAAAAATATACCAAAAATGGACATGTATGAAATAATGCTTGTTCTAGGCTGCACGTTAATAATAATCGTGTACCCAGTTTTTATCATTACTGGTCGTCTAATGAATCTGTTTCAAACTGTTTTATAAAGCGGGCTTTTAGCAGAGACCGATGTACGTTGCTTTTGTCCAAAATGTATTATACTATTCCACAAAAACCAGAGAATTGCTCAAAAACTTATTACTTGGATGACCTTGTATCTTGTTTAAAAAAAACATTTCAACGACCTCGATCTGAAAGTTCTCACCAATTAATAGATGAGACCATGACAAAATTCAAAGGACGATCTAGTCTCAAGCAATATCTTCCAATGAAAGCGATCAAAAGAAGAATAAAACTATGACAAAGATCAGACGCCAAGAATCGATATATCTATGACTTTGATATATATGCAGGTAAGGAAGTTTCAGACTCAGAGGGCACCCTTGGAGAACGAGTGGTCAATAAGCTAGCAGCAAGTATCCGATCTCCAACAGTTTGTATCTGTTTCGACAGATTTTTCACAAGTGTGAATTTGATGCAAAGCTTACCGTTTTCATGTGTCGTAACTTATGAAAATCGACAAAACACTCTTTAGTGAAATAAATAAATAAAATAAAAAATATTTTATATTAGGTAAATAAATTATGGTGACCACCATTGACCACCCTGTATATATATATATATATATATTTTTGATATTTTGGAAACGATTTCCCAAGAGGAAATCGAAAAGTCAAAATAAACTATCTTAAACTAAAATTGCGGTCAATTTCCAATTAAAATTCCTCGTGGCGTACTGAACAAGAAGTGTCCTTGTTATGGTATAAATTTTGCAATTAATGTTTTCGTTTTGCAATAATATATATTTACTTTTTGGAGGTGTTTATAAACTGTGACAAATATATTAATACGGGTCATTGCATTTTGTTGTTATCTAAATTAACAATATTTATAATAATATGCTAGCAAAATTGTATTTAAAGTAGATATTTAAATATTTGTAATTGCGTATTTTATTTTTAACTATATAATTATGCTTATAAAGAGTTTAACTAAATTATTGGTCGTTTATTACCAAAATATATTTAAGTGTGCTAGTTTTTCTGAATTCAAAGGTGTACAGGGTGCTACAAATACATGTATATGGGAATAATACCATAAAAGGAAAAATATAAAAAACTTTATTTAACGTTTCAGAAATAGACATTTATGATTGACTGTAAACAATTAACTTTTAACTTCATCCAGCTATTGACCTCCGTCCAAAATGGCTTTAGAAGAAATATATCTACAATTAAGTAATTTTCACATTTTTCGATATATTGACCACATTACATTTTTTCCTTGTTAAAGACACCACATCATAAAAATATAAATAGCTACGGTGTGCATCTAAACATTCCGTAGAGTATTTAGCACCTAGGCCTTTTCTATTGGTCCTTTGCGGCACACGGCCATGTTTCAACCAATAGGCGGCGAGGTGCCAAACACCTAATGGAATGTTACTTTGGTACGAAATTCAT